AAAAGAGGACCAAAGGCCCTTTCAGTCCCCTTTATGCCAGTACAATTCTAGCTGCCAGACTGGTGCCTCTCGTGCTAGAGACTCAGTTTTCAAGCAAACTCTGTACCTTACGGCCTGGTGTGGTTCACCAGGTTTTGCCCTCCAACTGAAGTGGTATTGCAAGTGGGGCTTAGGGCAGTGCCTTGGAGGAGTCAGGCAGGATTGGCTGTTCCTGCTGAGGATGGCCTGGGTTTGAGTGCCCCTTCTGAGTACACTCTGCAGACTGTCTGTAATTGCCTCTTGCAGCATCTGCACGTGAAGCTGACTGAGGTGGAAAAAGTGCTGTTAGGTCTGAACCAGCCAGAAGGCATTGGGAATTCTGCACGTCTTGATTCTCTCTACTGGAATGTCATGCGTTGGCTGAATTACACGTATGTATATGCTTGCTGCTTCAGCTTCTTGGCTTGCCTGGTGCACTGGCTGCCTGTCTTCATTGATGTGGGGAAGCAGGAAGAGAAAGAAAGTCGAGGCACTGTTGGATTGGTTCAGCAAATGTGAGGCTGGAGGGAATGCGTAGCTGTCCAGGAATGTGACCGGATACTGGAGAGTACATGCCAGGACCTTCAATCCTCTCCCAGTGATTTGTGTGCTCCTTAGTGTCTGGATCCCCATCCCAATGCTTGGAGTGGTTGCCTTGCAGCTCTGAAAGCTGGGGAGCATTCTGTGTTCATGCTTTAGTGCTCCTGTGTTAAATGGCAGCTGGATTAGGCTTCTGTTCCGGGGCAAAAATGAAGTGTAGGATCTTTTCTCCTTCCTGCTGGCACTATTTAGTGAAACACACAGCATTAGGCAATGCTGGGTGCTCTGCTCATGACTGGGAGCTGTGGGTGGCCTACCCTGTGGTATCTCACCCCAGCAAGAGGCTCTGAGGGAAACGCTGGCATGTGGCTCACTGTGAGAGGGTTCATGGGCAGGGAGGAATTGTACCAGGCAGCTGAAGCTGTTGTTGTGGCCCCTTCTAATGCTCTGAACAGGGCACAGTGGCCTCAGCCAGCCTTATGACCACAGCCCTGGGCCCTTTTCCAGTCTCACACAGGTTCCCTGGCATTGTTCTGCCAGAGCTGGCCCAAGGATAAGGAGCTAGTAGACTGCAGCTAGGAAGGGGATAGTTAAGGTAGGAAACATGAGCTTGTGCATGTTCTATAAGGAAGAGCTTGGGGTTCAGGGGTGCAGTCTGCTGTCACTGTTGATGCCAACTTGCTGTGACACAGAGATGTTTGTGTAAGTGAGTTGGAGCACAGCAGGGTCTGCAGGAGCTGCTGGTCCCCAAGCAGGTTGGAGGCTTAGGATCCTGGTGGCGGTGCTGAGAGGGAAATGCTAACATCAGGATGTCAGGATAGTGGTTTTCTACCCTGAGGAGATGCAGCTTGAAAAACTCTCCAGAATGCTTCACATTGAAAACCAGGCCGTGAAATTACAGCCTGGTTACTTTTCAGGGCTCCTCTCTGGGAACTGAGCTGGTGCAGAGCAGCATAGACTGGGTGGTGGTGAAGTTGCTGTTGGGCTCTGTCAGAGAGCAGCAGGAGCAGTGGCTGTCTTATGTGCACAGAAAGGCTGCCTAGATAAGATTGGAAAGGTCTGTTGTGGGTTCTTGCTGGAATAGGACCTCTTGGGATTGTTGGCACAGTGAAGGCCTGGAGCTGTCACCTTGGACTTGCAGACAGTGTCTCGGCAGCCTTGCATGGGGCCGCAGGCAGGTATGTTTGGCAAGGTACAGTGTTACCTCGTCTGTGGAATGGGTGTTCTTCCTCAGGTCTCCATGTGCCTTCTTGAGTCCTGGTCTGGCTCCTGCTGTTCATTAACCAGTCCCTGTGCAGACTGAGGACCACCTCCAGGGATAACACTCCTCCTTGCAGCATGCCTCTGCTTCCTTGCACCTTTCTTGTGCTTCTGCCTGTTTGTGGTTCCTGTCGCATGGATCATCGCACTGTTCCCTGGCTGTGAATTAAGTTGTCCTTGATCTTTGGTGTTCTCTCTGCAGGAAGCCCAAGAAAGACAAGACAGCCAATAAGCCTGAGCAGGAAGCAGGGTCGTTTAAAAGGAAGAAGAAAGGCTTCTTGCCAGAGACCAAGAAACGCAAGAATCGCAAGAAAGGCATCCAGGAGAATGGGGTAGCACCAGCAGCCAGTGAAGGTGGAGAACCAGGAGCCCCAGAAGAGCAGCCCCTGGGAACAGAAACCCCCAAGCAGAAGAAAGGCCTCATGCCTGGTGGCAGCAAACACAAGAATCAGAACAGAGGGGTCAGGGAGAACGGAGTAGCAACAGCGGGCAGTGGGGAGGCTGCTGTTAATGGAGGAGATGCTGTGGCTCACAAGAAGAAAAAGAATATGAACAGAAAAAGGAAAGGTGATGGCAGCAATGAAGCCAAGCAGGTTCCAGCTGCAAAGAAAACCAAGGGGAGTGTCAGCCAGGAGCCCCTGCAGAAGCAGAGCAAAGCCAAGAAGAAAAAAAAAGAGAAAAAGGCTCCAGTGCTGCAGGACTAAACTCCATGGACTCACCTGGGGCTGCTATGGCTCAGGAGACTCTTTTAGTATCTTTTATACTATAGTTTTTATGTCCTCCATGGCTTTAAATAAACCTTCCATGATGCTGAGCTCTACAGCTGCTGTGTGTGGAGGATTGAGCCCAGAGCACATGGAGCTTCAGGAGGTCACATAGCCTCTGGGTTCTGGTACATGCCCACTCTCTCTTCTCTGGCAGTGCCAAACAGCCTGTACTTGGGAGCACAGACTCCTGTCTCCATCATTTCCCAAGGCAGAAGCGAGTGGCTGGTTTGGATTTCTGGAGGAGCTGTAGTAGGTGTGCTGGCATGGCTGAGTTGTGTGGTTGAGCCCTGTAGGAGGTTCAGAAGTGATTCCTAAAGGCTCATTTCTGTCCTACCCAAGCCCAGCAATACTCACAGCTTTTCCAGTCTGAGAAATGCTGCCTCTTAATTGCCTGGGGTTAAATGAGCTTGTACATGCATGTTCTGAGGTCAGGTATATCCAGTTGGCCACTTGGGTGTCATCAGTAACTACCATGATCTGACTTTCTTGCCTTTTTGCTGCTGGGTGCAGGATGGGTGATGGCCCCTGTCATGGCACAGGGACATCAATAAATCAGTGAAACGACTGAAGTGGTTGATTGATTTGCTGGTGTACCAGGCCAGCAGGCTCTGTGCAGCCATGCAAGGCACCCAGCACCAGCAGCCTTACAAGTCTTTGAAGGTGACTGCTTGGAATTGTGTCTGCTTATTTATCCCCATGAATGCCAGAATGCATCAGGACCAGGTTCTCCAATGTGTTGGTTTTTGTTGAGAGCTCCATCTTCAAGTGTTTGAAATCCCATTCATGTTGTAGCTGCCTCTACAGCCTCCTCCCTCCTTTCCTCACCCCCACCTTGCTCCTGGGGAGCAGTCTGCATCCTGCAGAGCAGTTTGGTGCTGGCTCCTGTCACTGGCAGAGTGATAGGACCTGGAGCAGGGCTGTTCCTGTCATCCCACAGGTGGATCTATGCCACCAGACATAGATAAGGGCACTGGAAATGTCATGTTGCTTTTGGAGGGAGTGAGAGAAGAGCTGCAAAGGGCTGTGTTTGCCTATGGCTATTTATCTGCCTTTGCAATGATTCTTCTTCTCTCAAATGGCATAAAGCTCCCTGGGAGACTGCTGCTGGCAGCAGCGCAGACACGTTCAGCTGCAGACCCCTGCGTAGGTGCAGCTCTTGGCTCCATGTCACAGCATGATCCTGCAGGCTCTGCTCTGCATCTTAAGGAGCGTGCTGGCTCCTGTTAGCAGCAGGTGAGGGCTGGAGTTACTGTGCCCAGTGGCTGGCAGGGCTCAGCAAACAACGTCCTGTCTTTCCCTTTCTGCCTTCACAGCTGCTGCCTCTGGCACTCAAGGTTAGGCAGGACTGAGGAGCACTTTGTTGTTGCCCTGGAGGGTGCATCCTGGATGAGGAGGAGTAGGGGCGATGGAACTGGATGCTGCAAGTCAAGCGCCCTCAGGCAGTGACACAAATGGGATCAGGAGGTGAAGAGGAGCTCTGCAATGTTGCCAGAGTCCCTTAGTGGGTGAAGAGAAGCTCTCCTCTTGCTCACATTTGCTATGTGTTGGCCTGCAGCCTCAGCAGGGTCTGCAGGAGCTGCTGGTCCCCAAGCAGGTTGGAGGCTTGGGCTGCAGAAATGTGTCCAGGACAGTGCACATCAGACCTTCAGTGGCTGGTGCCTGCATCTCTCTGTGGTGGTTGTCTGAGCTATTTAGTGCTGGACTCGTCCTGCTGGACCTTTTCTCCCAACCACTTATTAATCTGAAGGTTGTTGTAGGGTCCTGACTGGAATGGCTGCTGTTGTCACCTTCAGAAGAGATGCAAAAGTCTTTGTTCCCTATCAGAAGGTAATGGGAGTTATTATTATCAGTCTTGGCCCCAAGAAAAAGGGCATCTCTGCTTCAGAGGGACTGTTGGCACTGGGTCTACAGCTCTGCCTCTGCCATTTGATGCTGAAAGCTGGTTCATTGCCTTGTTAAAACCTCAATCCCAGCTAAGCCCCTCCAGATGTCTCCCAAGTGATGGCTTTGTGCGTGTTATTTATGCAAATGCAGCATACAAGAGGCCAGCAGGTCAGGACCATCTGTGTTCAATGATCCAGAGTTGCTCTGATGGGGAGCAGGGGTTTCAAATCTGAACACTGTCTTCACCAACGTTTTCTTTCCTTCTTTTTGTGCCTGTAAAGGGGACATCCTGGGACTTTATACCACTGCCCCTGCAGAACTGAAAGAGGAGCAGCGTGCAGGTGTGGTGGGTGGGAAGGAAGGTGAGCGCTCAGGTACATGGATGTGTTGGGAGTGGGAAGGCAGTGTTACAGAGCCTACTGGGCTGTCTTTTTGGATGTGCAACAGGGCAGCAGCTTGATCGTGCTGTGAGAGCTGAGCCTGGTACTCAGTGCTCAGGGCTGTGAGCAGCCTGGAGCACTGCCACACAAGGCTCTCTGGTTTGGGGGATGCCACCTCACCCTTCTCTGGGAATGTGAGCCAGCTCCTGAGCCTGGCAGGTGATGGGCAGAGCAGGTGCTGTGGGCCCATAACAGGGGCTTCTGCCCCTCTGAGCCTTTTGGGGTGAAGCCTTGTCTGCAAGTGTTTCCCCTCAGCCAGAGTCACAGAGCTTAAGGGTTCGTGTGGATCAGTTTGTCACTGTCAATTTGGGAGGAGACCAGAGCAGGGCAAAGCATGAGGCCGAAGCCATTCCAGCTGGTTCTGATGGTGATGGGGTAGAGCCAGATGTCAGCTCCCAACCTGGAGAGGTTGCCTTTGGCCTCTGCCTTGCCAGTGTGGAGGCTGCTGTGCTCATGTGTGTGTGTTCAGTCTCCAGCACTTCCAGAGCAGTCAAGGGGCTGGGAGGCATTGTGCACGTTGTGCTTCAGTAACAACTCCTTTGCCAATTAAATTACCTGACTTCAGGCTGGCTTTGGTGCACAGTTGATAGAAAGCAGTCACTAATCCACCAAGTCAAATCCTGTTTCGCTGGCACTTATTTGTGCCCTTCAACAATTGCAAAGGTTTCATTTTACTTGATTTCATGTCCTGTCTGTTCCTGGACCTTTGGGGCTTTAGGGGGTAGAGTATGCTTTGGTTTTAATGAAGCCTTTTCTTTTCAGCAGTCCTGGGCTTAGATGCTTTTTGGAAGTGGTAAATGCTCAAGGGTTCTTCTGAATGCAAGAAAATAGCCTCAGGCCCCGGGGCACTGAGCTGGAGGGAGCAGTGCTCTGCAGGTCACTGCTGGAGACTGGCCTTTGTCCGGGGCAGGAGCAGGGCTGCAAACCAGCCACTGTTCCCAGTGTAGTGCCTGCTTCTTGCATGAAGCCTCAGACTGCTTGAATCGGCGTCACGATTGCTCGGTCCTGAGGTGTGTTAAGGCTCTCCCCGTTGCTGGGGCTGGCAGAAGAGTCTGTGCTGAAGTGCTGCTGGAGGGTTTGTGTTAGATCTTTTGAAGGAGTTCTTCAAGGCTAGGTTGGACAGAGCCTCGGGCAACATGGTCTAGTGTGAGTCGCCAACCCAAACCATTCTATGATTCCCTGTGAGGGTGCTGAGGTGCTGGCACAGGGTGCCCAGAGAAGCTGTGGGTGCCCCATCCCTGGCAGTGTTCAAGGCCAGGTTGGACACAGGGGCTTGGAGCAACCTGCTCTAGTGGAAGGTGTCCCTGCCCATGCCAGGGGTTGGAGCTGGATGAGCTTTAAGGTCCTGTCCAACCTAAACCAGTCTGGGATTAGGACAGGGCAGAAAGGCTGGGACAAGGTTGGCTTGTCTGTGCAGGTGAATAAGGCTTCGTCAGGTGAAGCTGGGCAGTAAAACATGCTCCCTGCAAAGGGGATTACAAATCTACCTGTCCCAGGCTAAGCCTGTGCTTAGAGCTGTGTTCAGGTCTCTGTCCTCCCTCTGAATCTCACCCTTGCAGATGTCACCAGTCTTGATCAGTCTGTAGCTTTCAAACCTCAGCTCAGAGATTTTGTGTGAATTGCAGCGTGTGCTGGGGGTGATGGGACACACCAGCCACTCGGTGCTGGTTTGGTTGGGGCAGTGACTCTCCCACCGTGCTGGATGTGCTGTAAGGGGTGTCCTGGGCTCGCCAGACATGAGGAACCCCTGGGCACAGCAAACAGTCACATTATGGCTCTTCTGGGCAGGGGAGAGCCTGCCCACAGGGATCACCTCCGGCCTCGCAGCAGTTGGTCATCCCGTGCAGACACAGTGAAGGCTGAATCAGCTGATGTTTAGCATCGTGTCCTTTTAAGCATGTTTTCAAATGCTAAAACATTCATGTTTTATTTTTAAAGTAATAGACTTTGTGTTGTACAGAGGTTTTGCCAGGGGCACTAGAAGATAGTTGCAGCGTGTTGGAATGAAAGTGAGGGTGCTGTGCAGTCAGAACCTCTTTGTGGAGCCATGGTAAATGCACCCACAGTCAGATCAGACCTCCAGCACACGTGGCATCAGCTTGTCCAAGCCAGCGTGGGCTTCCCGAGGTGATGGGCTGCTCTGGGCTCACGTGTGTTGGAGATGGTCAGTGTAGTCACCCTGTGCAAGCCCACACAGCAAGGCTGTCATCGTGTCAGACTGCAGGTGGGCTTGGTAAGAGCTCTACAGAAACAGCTTGAGGAAGAGCTATGGAAAGAAGGGACTGGAAGAGTGAGTGAGTGTGTTTGTGTACATGCAATTGTATGTCCATGATCAAAGGCAGACAGTGAACTGTAGAGTCATATTAGCAGTTGTTGGTTGATGGAAGCTGAAGCTGCTGAGCTCCAGGGCTTAGCTGCTGGGACATCAGAAGTTACAAACTCGTGCTTCGTCAAGTCATTTGCAGAGGATGATCAAGCTGAAAGCCCAGACCTGTGCTGCTGAAAGGTGATCAGGGCTGAGTGTTGCAGCAACAAATCCTTTGCATGCGTGTGTGGCCTGGCCTGCACACTTGTGCTGTGGGGCAAGAATGCTGAAGGGAGGTGATGCAGGAG